TGGGGGGAGCTCTTGTCAGGGGAGTGTGTGTGAGCAGGCACAAAGCTCAGCTGCTCCCCCACCTAGTCTCCAGTCCAGGGGTCTCAGTGGTCACCCTGGCCCTTCAGAAATAGCAGGCGTGAGATCAGAACAGGTCCTCTCCAACCCACCCGTGAAAACCTGCACCCACACATGGGCAGATTTTTTCTTATCAAAAGGGGGGCAAGTCCAACCTATTCGCCACCAGCATCTCTCCAGAGCTTCTGCCAGACTCTTTTGTCCCTGTCATCACTACACATGGTCGCACAGCGCAGGCACGCCCCCGTCTTTACCACAGCTGCCCCGAGGGCAGGCACAGCTGAAGACTCCAGCCCCATCACTTCCGAGTCTCGTCTTGCTGTGACAGACCACACTCATCCTGTGCTTTGACAACTGCAGGCTCAGTGCTGGACATGAGGTGTGGCCAATCACAGCGCAGGGATTTCAGTGGGTCAAGACTGATGGCTGAAACTACACTGATGGCAGGTGACAATGGATATCTAGATGACAAGGATACTGATGGACTGAGACTGTTCGCTGACAGAAACAGACACACTGACATGCTGGCCCACACAGAGATTTATAGGATGGGCACAGGGCACAATGATGGCTCTAATTGATAATGGAGGCACCACCATGAGCAGAAGATAAACAGCAAATGGCTGGGCATCCAAACTAATGGACGCACCAGTTGTATGAAGACATCACTTTTCACAACCACCCTCAACAATAAACAGCCCAGGACCATCTCAGCCCACGGAAAGGATGAGTATGCAGAACATTAGGTCTGAATCAGCATTTGTTGCTGGAAAACAAATCAAAGAAAATCCATTAAAACAACATTGATTTCACCCCACCTCCCTCCCCCCTCAACCCCAACAAACAGGCCCTCACAGCCATATTGGAGCAGCCAATCTCTCAACAGCACGCTGAGAAAATGAAAGCCTGCTCTCCTGCACATACACTCACATTTAGGAGACATCGTTATCCACTTACTGTTCTACGGCGCTCAAAGCAAACACCGTCGCGAAAATAACATATGACTCCCATTACTGCAGTATTAGTGTTGGGCTGTGTTAGTTACGATTCACAACACAAAGCTAAAAAAAATCAATTATCTATAGATCAATATCTAATTATGCTTCTATCAGTGGCTCCTTGATTCAGTCGTGCGCCTCCTCTATATCGGAACGCCAATAGATTGATCACAGCGGCCAATTCAATGCAATAGCGAGAGCTTTCACGTTTCAGAGGGGAAACATGCGCAGCTGTGATCGAAAGGCTGCCTGCTGGTATTCATCGGTCCGAACCGTCCCCAGCCCTTCTCTACGGGTCTTAAGCATGAAACGGGTTCTGTTATTTATCACGGGCTGTCGCTGCACCTTGCCGGGGCTCTCAAGCCGCGCGATTTGGTGCAATTAACACGCCTAACAGAGCGCGACGTTTTCAGGCGTGCGTCCTCGGGAACGATCAAGGAAAACGCCTTAGCTGAAAAGAAACGCACGCACTACACGGTCCGACATGGAGCAGGGCATACGTGTGAAAGGCGCGCATGGCTCTGATTTTTAAGAGGCAGAAAAAAAAAACAGTGCATCTTTTCGCCTGCTCAGAAAATGGGTGGATGCACGCAGAGCAGTTTAAATCAGTTAAAGGAATTCGCTGCGCTGTGGAGGCAATACCGGAGCTGCAGGAGTACAGCTGTACACATGTTAAACCCAGTACTTACTCCATAGTTCGTCGCCTCTCTGCTTTTCTTTCCTTGACAGCCAATCTGTCCACAAAATCCCTCTTTGGACTTTTTTTTTTTTAATTGCTGCTGGTTGGTGGTTTATCCGCCCTTCTAGCGTAGATCCCGAGCCAGCGTGCTTCTCTTGGCGACCCCCTCCCTTCTGCAGCAGAGAAAATGCGACTCGCTCCTGCCTGCCGAGGTGAACGTGAGTGGGGAGGTCCACTCGCCCTGCTGATGTGACAGTAGCCCTCGGTCTGCGGGGTGGGTGTGTGACAGCACACAGATCCTAGCCTCTATCCGCTATCAGCATCGGAACCTTTCTCTACCCCTCCTCCTTTTTTTTTTAATACCGCCTTTTGTTCGCTCCCCGGGCTGTGGTGCTGTGCTCTGCTCTGCTGCTCACACAGTACCACCCGGTCTCGTCAAGAGTGGAGACGGTAAGGCACGCCCCCACCCGGAGAGACTGGGGACACGAACCTAGGAGACAGAGGGGGAGAGACTAAGAAAGAGCGCAGCAAAGGGGGCAGAAGAGATTCGGTTCGCGAGTCCTTGCCCAGAGTCTAAAGCGCCCCTTTGCGCAATCGCATCCTTCTCGATTAGTAAAACGGTCCACCACCCCCCTCCAGATGTTATCCATTCTCTTCTGCTCAATTATCCAGGATTATTGAAGGAAATCAACGCGCGGGACGTGTTTATCTATCCCGTACATTGGGCGTCCTGCGGAGATAACGGTGGAAGAACCTGCTTAATTCTCCGTTAAGCTCGAAAGGTTCCTCTGTGGAAGCGCCTTGTAATTAAAATTTGGCATGGGGAAAAAAAACCTGGACGGGATATTGAACTCGGTGATGATGCGTCTCAATGGCATTGGCACTGATAAAATCAACAGATCCCAAATGTCTGTCATATCTAAAAAAAAAATACACCACAGCTTGTTCTTTGAAGTGCTTCGGTACGTGCAGAGTCAATATACAGTATAAGGAGATGAATTAATAAAATGCTTTATTATGACAGTGTCACCATGGTAGCAGTATCATAAGTCTAATGCTAAAATAACATCCTTTGATACAGCTGCAGGAAGTATTAATGCATCATTAACCAGAGAGGAGTTTAACAAGATTAAGATACTCATTTTTTATCTACTTATTTTTTTATTGCATTGCAGGTCATGTAACAGAAGTACACACTGACAGCTAGATTACTATTTTTGAACCAATTTCTTATACTGGCATGGTGAGTCCAAGTCTTATTTATATATTCAGTAATGAAACTAAGTCCAGTACATCTCATACTGCCTTACAAAAATGCCACAATTTCAATTTTAAGTTATGTATTAAAAATAACATGACTGAATGCACACATTTTAACAAGGTAATCATTAAATAATTAATTAATAATTAATATTAGACTTATAATGCATTTGCATTATTGTTATACCGGTAATCAAATACCTGCAGACATTCCTCTATCTTCTGTCAGACTCAAAACAGAAAACTTCACTTCCACAGTTTCTAGTGGACATGGAGGATTAGGTCTCCATTTGCAAATGTCCCTTTAGAATTATATTAACTTTGTGCACAACATTCCTTTCCTGTAAGTGCATGTACAGTAGTGTGTAGTGTGTATACTTAGGAGAAGGTCCTTCAGCTGCATCAGAACCAGAAATTGTACATCTCTACCAATTCCTGTTAGAGAGGCCCTTTCTCTTTCTTCTAGTTCAGATCTAAGCTTATCTCTTGCCCTGATCCATTCCATTTTTAGGGTTGTGCTACAATTACCCCATGCCTTGCAGACAACTGTGCTAGCGCTGAATTCCTCAAAACTACATGGAGTTAGCATGGCAGCTGAGGGACGAGAGAGAAAAGCAGACTGCTCAGGATCCACCTTCAAAAACTGTACTGTAAAGTCTGGGAACTCGCATTGCCTCCAGTAATTGCAATGATACGCTGGCAAGCTGTTGATTTCAACATAGCAAAGCAGTTCCTCTTGATTTGTTCTTTTAAGCATTCTGTGAGAAGCAAATGAATGCCAAAGGGGAAAGACCTCTTTTGAGACCTGTTTTGAATGGGAGAAAATCTTTTTAAAAGAAATACTCAATGCTTCATCCTCCTGCTTCCATTCTCCAGCAGCGCTGGGTGATAAAGTCAGTCCTCTCCTGCGGCGGAGTCTGCTTTTCCCCCGTAGGCCCCTGAAGTGCCGTAAGGAAAAAAAAAAACAGATATCCCAGTAAACGTGGAGCGCCTGGCCTGGCGGCCGAGCTGGCCGAGGGGATATCCTCCGTTTCTGCTGAGGACGGAGAATGAGCAGGAAATGCTTTTGCAGTAAACAGCCCCCGCCAGGTGGCTTGGCTCAGGCCTGTGCAGAAATTCCCAGCTGTGCTTCAGTCTGTGGCTGGACAAAGCTGCTCTCCTCCGCCCTCCTTAACAGCAATAACCAACTATTCAGACAAAGGAGGGAGAAACCAAATTCAGCCTTTCGGTGCGAGTTGAGTTTTTCTGTTTGTTCTGTTAATGGCACTTTTTCGGATTTTGTCAAGACGGAAGACTATGCTATACAAGCACTGTCTTGCTTTCAGTCACATCTCTGGTGGCTAAGGGTAATTTATAAAGGTCAGAAAGGAAGAAAAAGGGAGAGGAGAGAGGACAGAAGGGGAGTTTAGGGTAGAAGTGAACATTGCAGTGTGTTCTGTAATGATCAGATGTTGTGTTAGAGTAGTGTGTATATTTAGACTTTTGTTTGTTTAGGAGTAAACGGATTGACAGCCAAATAGGTTTTCCAACCTGCAAAATTCCCACAAATAGTCAGTACTGTAGTAATATTAAAAATGTCTTCATGATAGATTCAAAAGTTTTACACATACTGGTTATGGTATGATTTAATGCCTAAAACATGTATTTAATAAGAGAGCTGTTTTATGCTATGTTGGTGTAATTATAGTACAATGTCAATAAAGTAAAAGTTTAAATGTCTGAACGACTTCCCGTATTTTGTTCGACATCTCCTACTCCTACAGGGTCAGACAACAGCCCTGATTGGACAGGGGCCAGATTTTAAAGGGAATTGAAGTAGACGGGTCAACATTCCTGCTTCATTCTTGAATTTGACCATCACTGCACAGTACATGGTCACACACATGCCATATAACAAGACTTTATCTGCCTAGAGCCACAAACTCAGAATAACAGACGTTCAGGAACAATTCACTATAAATCATGCACAGAAAAAAAATCCCAAAGTAAGAGTTGATTACATCAGAGAATGCAATATATGTTACATAGATCACAAAAGAGATTTATTTATACTCTCATACAGATATATTATACTTGCATACCCCTTCAAACGATATTTTGTTGCCCCCCACCATGACATGTTATGAGATTTTGTGTCATCTTAATCTTCATTCAAAGTGCAGATGCAAGAGGTGTCTGTAGAAAGCACATTATCACCCTGCGGTCTGTGTGGGTCCGAATGCCCCTATACTCTAAAAAAGGCACCTTCCTTTGGATGAGATGTAAAACTGAGGTCCTGGCTCTCTGTGGTCATTAAAAATCACAGGGCGTTTCTCGAAAAGAGTAGAGGTGTCTTTACCTATCATGGCCTCCTAATAATCCCCATCTCTGAACTGCCTTCATCACTCTGCTCTCCTCCCCACTGAGAGCTTGTGTGGGGAGAGTACTGGCGCACTTTGGGTGCTGTCCCATCCTCCAGGTGGGCCTGCACACTGGTGGTGGTGGTGGTGGTGGTGGAGGAGGGGATCCCCATTACCTGTAAAGTGCTTTGAGTGACATGTCCAGAAAAACACTATATAAGGGTAAGGAATTATTAATTATTTACAAGCAAGATGATGCCAGGGGTGTTTTCCAAAGGCTATAACTCAAGTTGTGTCAGCAGTAAAAAAAGACATAAAGCCCACTAAGTTGATAGACACTATCTTTCATTGAGAGATTGTACCTTTGGCATTTCATTTCAGTCATTTAGTTGTTTGCGTTGTGTAAAAACTATACACTAGAGGTTGTTCTGTTTAGTTAAGCGTAAGGGGCTATTGAAATTGAAATAACGGGTGCGTGGTCTCTCTTGCAATTGCATGGTTGACAGTTCCCTCTAGCGGTCAGACAGGGTAGTCAACGCTGTAAAACATCCCAGCCGAAGCTCTTTGAAGCAATAAGATTTCCGGGAGTTCTCCAAACAGCTCTTGGCCCGAGTTCAAATATTTAAGTCAGCATCAATTTTTGCTGTTGTCATATCATTTATTAACGTGCAAGAGACGTTTAATGTAGATCTTAGATTTGACAATCCATGCCGTCATTTTAAGCTGTTCTTGTTGAGAGAAACTAAGAATATATTTTATAGATGTTCGTGCATTCAGTCGGTAGCAACTTCTCGATACAGACCTTATTTTGTCGGTTCTGAGATAAAATGCAACCAACTGAGGAACAAGCCAGTTCCAGAAACCAAACTGAATTTCACGACCAAGGAACGTTGTCCAAGGTGCTGAAACGTCAGTCGTACAGTATTGCAGTCCCTCAAAGATTGGAGGCACGTCTGTCGTAGTAAAGCTATTGTCGTGTATAATTGTGCTTTGATATGCAACAACATTCAGTTATCCACAGGCTAATAATCTTGTTCCAGCACGTGGTAAGTACCTGCAGAAGCAATATGAAGCTGTATTTGAAAGATACCGTAAGTAAGGCCATTCTTAGATGATTGCGTTTTGCATTTTGTGTCAAGTCCTCTTTGGCCTATAGATGGAGTGTGAGATCTACTCTTGGAATACACGATGTATTTCGTCCTCGTATTCCAAAGCGTTTATGGATCTGAACTAACAAAGACCATTAAAACGTTAAGAAGAATTTCATCACAAAAGTTATAAAAAAGTCAAATTCACTGACAGAACAATCCCAATTTTTATTGAACCACGATAAGTTTTCTACATGGCCAGAAATCCTTTATCTAACCTGAAGGTAGGCTCTGGGTGTTTATTGACGTTTTCCAATTATATTTCTTATATTTATATTCCTTACTGTTGACATGGTTTAGAAATGGCCTGCTGTGGCTTTAAATACTTCTTACACTGGAACAAAGTAGAAGAGGAAAAAGTACATACCCTTTTCTGAAAGATGCGATTTATTGTCTATGGAAAGTGTCCTTTTTTTGTTTAAATTTCAGATCTCGTTGACTGGCAGAGCTTCTCTCTGGAGATATAAATGGTTTTGACAATGGAGCATTTTGTGTCATTGCTTAAAGGTTTCCTTCTCCCATCAGTCTACCCCTCTCCTGGCAATAAAATTAATTTGGGGACAAAAACAGAAAAACAGAAGATACAGCTTTGATCAATTTTAATCCACACAGTAATGATCACAACCAACCCCTTCCAGGGTTCCTGGGCCAGGCTGCTCACAGACCAAGATCGAAGATGGAATGAGTTCTGGGAGAACCAAGTGTATGTGGACACCTCACTGGTAGGTATACTGGGTGGTGGTGTGGACAGCACTGCTTGACTATTCCCTCCTTTGCTTTTTCAAATCAACTGGGAGAAAAATAAAGCCTCAGTCCCTGTCACTGTGTCCTCACTAGTGGCATCACTGTGTGGTACAGCAATCCTACCATGCATG